GTTTCTAAGAACCATAACACTTTTCTATGCAGTAGATGGCTATGTTTCTAAAATAGATAGTATTTTTGACTTTATTTGTAATGTCTTGTTACTCTTTTCAAGAGTAGAATATTTTCAAAAAAGTATAATATAGGATTTATTAATAGTCCTTGATATATCTAATACAAAGCTTATCTACAAAATGGTAAGCAACTTTAATCAAAATGTGTCTAGGTAACAAATTAAACATTAAATAAAATGCTATTCTATAAGAAAAGGGTAATTGCACTAGTGCTTTTAGTAATTCCACGGCACCAAGCATTCAAATAGCACATGCTGTGGAGATGACTCTATGTAATAAAGAATGGCTTATACACCATTTAAGTAGAAAATACATGTGGAAGATGGGAAGAATAGAAATGAGTCTGGGGGTTAATCGTGTTTAAATACTTTTGTTTGAAGCAAACCAATTTCATCACTCTCTTCCTGAGCAAACACTGTTAAAGCACTGGTGTGGGAGGATTGACATACAAATAATCTAATTAAAATAACTCATTATCAAAGTTAGTTTTATTCAGTAATTCTTAAACATCTGAACAGTGGAATTTAGAAATAAAACATTTCTTATCTTAGATAAAGATCTAAGATGTGTGCCAGAAATGTTATCTCTAAAATGTTAATTTTATAAAGACTTAAAGACAAGGCGATTCACTTACTTTTCTCTTTTTAGAGATTTTCAATATTTTCAATTAGAAAGTAACAATCAGATTTTGATTATTTTAGGTTTTAAAAATCTTTGTGATGTGATATTACTCTATGGCATAAGAATATGAGGAATGCTCTGATGAAATATTCTCTACAACACATTTAGAATCAAATGGGCAGCCCAGCATTTATTTCTCTACTTCCAAAAGAACAGACCACCAAAGTAGTTTAGAACACGCTAGGTGGAGAAATTTAAAAAAGAAAAAAAGAAGAAGAAGAAAAAAACATGATAACCAATCACACCCCTAAAACTGAATGGCAACCACTGTAGAGAAAGAAGGAAGGGTAAGCCCACAAGGAGGTCTTTCTAAGGAGAAAAAGGGAAATAGCTAAGTACTAAGAGGTCACAAGGTACGTTAAACACATAAAAAAAAAACCCACTCATTAAATTTAAAGATCTGGTTCTACAAGAGCAGCTTGTGTTACTAAAAGGCATACCATTTGTAGGTTTTTTTTTTAATTCAAAAAGATTTACAATATTACTTTCTGAAGCTTTTTTCCAGTTCTGTAATTTGATTCTAAAATGAGTGTTACCAAATGGCATTTAAACAAATGCAAAAATTAAAATGTGTCATTTAAATGTAATCCAAAAGCTGAGAATTTTAGCCTTATTTAATTTTTTTGGGCTTAGTTTACAAGAAATACCCCACTGTTTTAATCTTTAAATAAAATAAATTTATCATACTTCTCACTTGTTTTAACTTTTAAAGCAAAAACAATTATACTTCTCACCAGCATTACTGGTTCTTACTTAACTGCACTATTTACTCAAACCCCTTGTAATCAGCAACTGCCACAGCATCATATCCCAACCCACCTCCCTGGGGCACACCACACTCCATGTTCACTAACGAAAATGGTCATTTCTATGGAAGTTGAGGAATTAAAAAACAAAGCAAAACAAAAACGGTAATTCTCACTGAACAGCTTTTAGACAAATAAAACAAGATACTAAAATATTGAGGGCAGCCTAAGTAAAATGAAAGTCAGAAATGAGATGACAAAATATCTAGTAATAAAGAGACATGAAACCTGGATTTGATTCAGACTCCTCCTCTTTACCTCTTTACTGTATTGGGAAAGTCACTTAAATTTCTATGTCTCAGTTTCCTCACCTGTAAAACAAAGGGTTTGAACCTGATGATCAATCCCTAAGGTCTCTTTTAGTTGTAAAATTCTATGATTCTATAAAATTTAAGTGAGGAAAAAAAATCCTAAAAATAAATAAAATGAAGAGGTGATGGAAGGGTGAATGTGTGTGTGTAAGCATCTGTTCTTTCCATCTCTTTTCCCCTATGTTCATGACTAAACCCAATGCCTAACATTGAAACCACAGTTATGTTTTATCATCTCTATGTCACTAAAGTTATTTGTCCCAAATACAATGTAAAATTTAATCAAGTCAGGGTGCTTTAGTTTTATTATAGAATGTACATCAATAAACTTGTCAGAAAAACAAAATAAGAAAAGAAAAGATATAGGGAATACAAATTCCTAGAAGTGGATATATTTAATTAAAGTTGTTTTAAAATAGTAAAATAATTCAATGAGAAAGCAACGAGTTAGATGTGTATTTCACAGACAATGATTTTGGTGCATTAATCACAGGCCAGCCAAAGGATTAGCCTCAGTTTCCAAATTTGAATCAAAATGCAGAATAGCTGAACATAGCACTTGGATAAGTAGTAAACGGTAAAATCATTAAGTTTGCATGACTAACTTCAATGCGCTGTGATCAAGGAAGATAATCTCTTGTTAAATCAATGGTTTTATATTATGAAAAGAGGAAAATGACTCAATCTACACAAAAGCACAGTAAACACACAAACATTCCCTATTAAATTGATCACATAATAAATTACAATGCATGTTTTCACTTATTTAGCCATTAGTATCGTAAGGTATTTCGTAGCTGGAAGCGTCTTGACTGTGTTATTTTCTCAAGCAAATGTTTAAAATTTTGCAAATATATAAGGGCCCCAAATCACATTCATTAATTGGCTGTAACCTACTATAAATGAAATATGTAAACCTGACAGGGAATCTCAACTTAAAAGTCAAACTTATACTTTGAGAATTGACACATTTAGGCTGGTGTTAAGCACTTAAGTTATAAAAGATAAATCTGACTAATACTTTACTAACAGGTAAGGCTTTACAACATCTTTCAAACCTGGAAGAAGTGTATGCGGTTTTACCATAGATCATCCTTCAAACAGTGTCACAACAAGCCCTGAAAGCCTATATGTACCTTTAATTTGTAAGAAGGTTATGTGATTCACTGACAGAAGCTGTGCTGGTGATGGACAGCCAGGTAATGCCGATAGAAGGTGGTACCTGTCACCGAATAATAATGCTGAAAACAGACATGAAAAACACACTTCTGTTCTAAGATACACCTTTCCCATCCTTATTTGATCTCACACCAACATAAAGACAGCCAATGACTTGCATTCTTTCTATACTAGAAAAGCATTACCTCTAGCTTTTCTAACCTCTCTCCTCGTCAAGAGCTACCTATGGTCATGTTTATTTTGGTACAGTGTCAACCATATAAAATGACAATGAGTAAGAAATACACAATCTCCAGTTGTGATATACTTTGCTCATGTAGACCCTAAAAATACAAACATTCCTCTCAAGCACATCATCCCTCATGAGGCATAATTTCCCAAGAAAAATAGTAAATGCTTCTTCGATAATTAGTGGGGGAAAAAAGGACAAAAAACAAGAACAACTTTTTTTCCAAGAGAGATAATGCTTGCACAAATTTGTTTTTTTACAAGTTGACGTTGCTTCTTGTCTGACTATACTTCTCTTGGATGCATTTTTGCTCAGTTATCCCTATCTAGTAACTCCTAAATGTTATCAGCCAGGCTGGGTTAGGCAGTCTAGAGGATAGCCCCCAAAACTTCTGGTTGGATTTACTACTCACTTCTAATACAATGGCAGTAGTGGTGAGATACCACTGCTGAGATTAGGTCATAGGAGACTATGGACAGTCTTGTGCACTCTTTATTGCTCACCCTATGGGAGCAATTTATTGTGTGAAAAGCCCATGTGGTGGAGAACCTAGGTCTACCAACAACCATGTGCATGCATTTGGAAGCAGATCCTCCTAACCCTCAGTAAGCCTTCAGATGGGATCACAGTCCCCACCAGTAGCTAAACTACAAATTCATGAAAGACCTTGGGTCAGAAGCTCTTTGCTAACCTGTAACCAAATCTCCAACCCACAGAAACTGTGAGATAATAAACATTTGTTGTTTTAAGCTGCTAAATTTTGGAGTAATTTTTTACCCCGCAATAGATAACTAATACAGTATCTCAGACAAATTATCAAATTAACTGGCTAAAAATGGGAAGTTTCCTACTCAACTTGAAAAACAGAATAAAATTTTCCTTCATTCTCAGATCTGGTCGATTTTGTAAGCCATTAGGGAGGTAAAAACCCTCCTATGCCATAAATATGGTCACCATACTCCAAATATTAAAAGGAGAAAGAAAGCAGAAATGAAAAACATAAATTAGCTTCACTTTGCAGTAGCAAAGATCATGATATATTGATTTGGAGAGAAACATCTAGGATCCTTGAAAATAAAAATTCAATTTGTTAAAATAAGTAGCCTCAGTCATTAAACTACTAATTACATACAGAACCTAAAAATAAAAACAAAAAAACTTGAATGGTGATTGGAATTTATGTATAATACTTAACTGGAAAACCCGACACAGAAGAGAGTAGAGACCAGTTACAAAGAAACAAATAAGAGATAAATTAATAATCTGCCAAATTTGTAACACAAGTTGATGGCTGAAGTACCCGGCAAAGCCATCATGATCTTAAAAGTGTCTGCATTCACATAACTGAAAAGTAAGTAAAGAACCGAAAACTGCCTATGCATCAAGAAAACACTCGACTTGAAAAGCAACACTTGGGCTAGAAAAGAGTAATCTTTGCCATTGTCGGCTTTACTTCATAATGAGGCTGGGACACCACCTTGGGTCCCAACTTAACCTATACTCCAGTGGCCTAGAAACACAAGGAACACACCTACTCCCGCCTCCTGATACAGAGTCTACATTTTAACACGCCAGTACAGCTGTCACTCAAAGTGCTCTGCACTGCCATTGGTCCCAAAGTCTTGCTGGTTGGCAAGTTTCTGCCAACTGGCAAACACCGGTTGTCTTTATTTCCAAGAAGAAAGGCAAGGGCATGTAGAGAAAAGACGCAAGAGTTCTGAAATATCTTGTACCTGAGCGACCTGCGATCCCCACCGCCGCCGCGACGAATCGGCCTCTGGGCGGGGGCTTTTAGTCAAAAAGAAAATGGCTCAGCCGGGAACTGGTGCCCAGCCCATGGAGATGCCGGTTCAAACTTTACTTGTTCACGCCGGTGGAGGTATCAGCAGCGAGAATAGCAGAAGCAGCACAGGATCCCTCTGAACTCAGCGCACCTCAAGCTGCAGCAGCCAGAGCGGCCGACTGTCCGACTTTTGACGTTTCCTATTGTTGCCGGAAGTGACGTTAGGGTTCTGAGCCTTAGAGAAGAAGCATTTTTATTCCCGGTCTTTACGATTCGCTATAGATTCCCCGTTTCTCACATCGCAACCCGAGCCACTTTAAGCATCAACTCTAGAACAAAATTTTAATCTGCAACTTGGGGTCAGACTGGCAGTTGAAAATCCTCTCCGCAGAGTCAAGTCTCCTCAGCGGTCTGGACAAATGTGGTGTGGAATCTGCAGCGAGGAATCGTGAAGCACCGAGGAGCCGGCTGCTTTGAAGGTCTTCCCGCGGCGCGTGGCGGGCTTCGACCCACTGTTTAAATACCAACGGTCGACTCGAGAGGTGCGTGGAGGTGCAGGCGTCCGGCTGCAGTGAGTAGCTGCTGGAGGCTGGGCTCCGGTGGCTATCTCTGGTCGCATATGCTACCTCCCCCTCTCCCGGCTGTGAGGGGCCAGAGGCCTTCGGGGCCCTCTTTGCTTGGCAGCTGCTGGGGAAGCTGGCGAGAGTGCGCCCCAGGTTAAGCAGGGGAAGAAGCCTGTCTCTGTAGCCCTTACCGAAACCACCGAAGGGAGCAAATGACCAGGTCTGCCTTTTCATTCTTTTAAATCAAATGGAGGGAGGGGAGCCCTAGATATGCCTTGCTTATAAACCCAACTGGTATAGCGGTATGATAAACAGCGAAATAGGAAGAATCGTGGTATCTAATTTTCTTAGTTTAGGGTTAGGGTTGGGAAATTAGAGACCGATTCCTTCAGTTGGAACCTATGAGCTGAGGAAAGGATCCTACTCCTCCGAAACACTGACTAGAAGGAAGAGATGAAAGTAGTGAGTTTTTCTTGCCTGCATTTCTTTGAGTTTCCTTATCTCTCTGCTTTCTAGACAACTTACAGTTTTTCCCCCTCGCTGCGAAGAAAATCCATCTTGGCATTTTGATTCCGAAATTATGGGTACACAAGACTATTTTTCTAAAATTATCCACAAATATTTTGTATTTTGAGCAGTTTTATATGTGAACACAGCAGTACTATTGAGCTATATTCTTGTCCTGTACCCAAATTGTTTTTCGCCCAATTTTCTGTGTTTTCCCTTTTCTAGACCTTTCTACCTAACTCTTAGAACAGTATTTCCCCTAATACATTTTGAGAAAATTTCATAAACTGAACTTTACCCCTATCTACTCAATTTTTATACACGGTTTTTAGATAATATGTAGTGTTGTAAGGTATGTCACAAACTCTTAGCCATGGACTATATAATCATTAAAGTCAGTGTACTTGCTTTGTTCTGAAGAAAAAATCACTCTGAGTTCAATGGCATTCCATTGGGAGGAATCATTTAAGATTTATAATCACAATGAGATTGAGCTAGATTAAAAATCGTAAACTGCTATTATATACCCTTTTCACTCTGTCTTCCCAATAAGTGTAGTCGAGCAGGTCTGACTTGCAGAGAAAATTCTCTGGAGGATGCTGGGAAGCAATATTGAATCCATCTTAATGGTTGAAACTATGCTACAAGCAGAGTAATGGCTCTTTTCCCTTAATTTCTTTTAATAAGGGTTATAAAGTGAAAACATTAATCCTTTTTTAAAAAGTAAGTTATTTTTCATTTCTGAAAGTACTGTGCTAAAATGTGCATGACTTGTAGATTGTCTTAATATCTTGGTTTTAGTGTTTTTCAGTTTCATAGTAGATTTAGCAAAGTCTCATGAAAATGTAGAATAGTGGCTGTCATTTTTTGGTGTAATACTCACTTTTTAATCCCTTTATTTTTTCTATCCTGTTCTATTATTTACCTCCTTCACCTACAGATCCAACCTGTACTTGTATCTTACTCTCCTTCAAAAATATTTATTCTGCTGATACTGAAGAGGATGTGTTCCAAGGACATACTTTGTTGTCAGAAAGTCCATTATCAGAGGTAGAAATAATATGAGACATTGATCTATGTTCCAGGACTTCAGAGAAGGGAAAGATACCATAAAGTGCTAAGTAAAACAAAATTACATGTACTAAAAACATGGAATATATATTTGGAAGAATTAAAGTCTACAGAGGGAGATACAATTTATATTAAAGTTATAGAATGTCTTAGGAAAAGGTACCCCTAGAAGAGTCATATTAAGGTAGGTGGGTCTGGAACTTAATATAATAAATACTATATTGGCCAGTGGCAGTACCTAAGAATACATATATTTTGCAGTTACAACCAGATTAATTCCCACTTCATCTTTCCCAGGAAAGTAAAGGCTGGTCTTGGGAAGTCCTTTCTTACTGCTTCCTTATGTCCATCTATCCCCTAGTCATCTTAAAAGATATTTAATAAGGCTTATTTTCTTGGCTAATGTTTTGTATAATGTGATTTCAGGATCACTTCTTTTTCCTGTTATCTCCCATTTGGTAGATATTCCCTCTACCTAAAAATGTGAATATTTAGTAGTAATTGATTAACTGAAAAATACTGACTAGAATCCGTGCATGAGCATATAAATTATACTCAATAACCTGTTCTTTACTATGTTGCTAAAGGAGAGGAGTCTTGGAACAGGAAGATACTGTGTTCCTAAAGAGGGGGGGAAGCAGAATTTGGTGGCCATGGGCTTAAAATAGAAAGCCTACTAAATTTGGGATTTGTAAATTGCTGACCTTATTACCTCTAGTTATACATAAATACAGAGAAAGTGTGTAAGGGAATATTTTGTATCTTGTGCAACTGCTAGAATGTTGACTGGGGAAAAAGATTGTACTAACTCTACCTGATTTATGAATTGTTCTGTTTTGTTTTTAATGTCAATGACTTCATTTTAAAGGAGCTTCATTCCCAGAGGATTCATTATTCAAGGTATTGTTATATATTTTCCTTCTATGCAGTGTCCATGGACAGTTAGAAATAGATCTTTTTAAGTGTGTTATTGGGCAATGCCTTACTGATTGATTAAACTTAGAGTTTAGAAGCCTTTTAGCTCTTTCTAGCAGATTCTTAACCATTTAATTACCTATCAATATTTATTTATTATATGAACCTCTTTTGAGAATAATCTTCGAGAATCTAATGAAAGCCCTACACCATGCAATGAGTCATTTAAAAATAAAATCCCATGGTGTTTTCTTTGGAATTTAAAAAAACTATTTTATTTTAAATCTCAAATATTGTTTCTGTCTTTTGGTGCATATATACTTACCATACTGTTTCATACATATGTTCTCTGGAGTTGTATTCCTGTTTCATAGGCCCTTTATATGTCAGCTTTAGTAGATAGCACCATAAAGTTTTCTAAAGTAATTATGCTAATTTACTCTTCCAGAGCATTATATGAGTTTCATATGTTCTATAGTTTCACATTTTGGATTTAGTTTGGAATTTCCTAATGATAAATAAGATTGCATATCTTTTCACATGTGTGAAGTTCTTGTTCAGGTCTCTTTCCCGTTTTCTATTGTCTTTCCTTTTCTTATTGCTTTGAAGGGAATTCTTTATATATTCTAGATATGAATTTCTTTTATTGACTTTATAGATCTATAGCAACATTTTCTCTCAGTGGTTTATCTTTCCACTCTCTTGAAGGTGTCTTTTAATGAACAGAGTTGCTAATTTTAATGTGCTTCATCTTAATAGTTATAAGAAATCTTTCTCTACCTAAAGATCAAAGATATTCTCCTCTATGATCTCCAGCAAGCCTGATTGTCTTACATTTTATGTTTAGATCTTCAACAAACCTGGAATTAATTTGGTAAAAGATGTGAGGCACCATTTACATCAAGGGGTCAAGATTTATTTATTCTATCTGGGTACTAAGTTGACACAGTACCATTTATTGGAAAAGACCATCTTTTCTCCAGGGCTACTCAGCATCAACTTTGTTATAAATCTAGTGTCAATATAAGCATTGTCTTTTTCTGGACTCTTCTGTTCCATTGTTTTATTTGTACATTTTCACTAATTCCAAATGTAACTTTATAATGAGTCTTGATATCCAGTGGTTAAGTCCTCCAATTTTGATTTTTATCAAGATTGATAGTTATCCTTTATCTTTTGCATTTCTGGATACATTTTCGAATCAGCCTGTCAATTTCCATTAAAAAAAAAAAAACCCTTGAGAGTTTTTTTGGAAGGGGAAATTCATTGAATCTGTCAATCAATTTTTTGAGTCTTCCAATCCTTAAAGACGTTGTATACTTTTTCTATTTATTGCTTCTTTAATTCATCTCAATAAAGTTAGGGTTTTTTGTTTTGAGGTCTTATACATCTTTTCTAGATTTATTCACATGTTTGTGATACTTTTGAGGCTACTTGATTTATACATAGAAAATCTGTTTTTAAAATTATACAATTACTTGGGGGGTACAGAGAAGT